TGTTGAAATCTATTACAAATGGAGGCTTATGAAAGCTTCTGGGAATATCTTTTGTTTGAGTTGAAATACACAGATAGGTTTTAGAGGTGAGAGTAACAGAGTGGTTGTGAGAGACTCATATGGGTCTTCTTTGCAGTTATTTAAGGGTTTCAGTTCTAATATTAAGCTTAAATGGAAGATTTGAAAGAAAAAGTTATATACATATGTACAAAATTCTGAAGAGTGAGAAAGAATATATATTGATTCATGTAGGGTCAGCTTAAGATTTTATAGATGTATATATAGTAAATTCATATACACTGATTCGATGCGTCTTCATATCCATCACATTTATGGGTTTGAAGAAATTTGTGAAGAGAGAAAAAGGAATATGTATTGATTCATGTATATATAGCATAGTTGTATACATATATATAATTATATACTTACAAAGATTGGATATACACTGATATATGGGTAATAATGGCATTCTACTAATATTAAGTGTGTGACATCAGCGATTTATGTCGTTGACCCATGTTAACCATTAAAAAGGGAGGTCGGAGGCATCTGTTTCAAGAATAAGTTTATCTCCATTTTGAGGAAAATAATGGCGAATCGAGAAGTTTTGTAAACTTCTTCTTTTTTGATACGTTGGACTCCAGATCTCTTTCGAATAATTTATCGAAAGATTGAAGACCATTACGATCTCATTCGACATTATAAATTCCTTCCTCCAGTCAACCAGCCGGCGACCCTGGCGAACCGGCTTCATTACAAATGTAGCATTTGCAATCCTTCTTTATTTCGAGGGATTTTGCTTTGGATGCCTTAGACTAACGTCTTTTGCTTTAAACCGGATTACATTCATAGGTGCTTCAGCGTTAATGCCTACAATCCTGGTCTTCCAAACGATCTTTATGATGAAATTAACAATGTTTGGAAAGCACATAAACTTGAACGAATCTTTTCTTTTACTGTTTGAAAAAGTGATTGTCGGCAGGATTAAACTTCCTTATCGACATGATTACTGATTGGAAAGTAGATTTCCAAAATTGATGGCGTCCTCCGCGGCTTCAGGCTCAAATCTCTATGTTACAAATAAAGCGAGACCACCTCAGCTACAACGATCCATTTCTGAAAGAAATCCTGGATGGGAAACGACGATTTACTTGGGCTGAAAAAGGAAAAGAACCCGTTGATCGCAGCGGTAATGCTCCATGGTTGCGCACCATAAATGCAGGACTACTATGTGGGCTACGTGTCTTCTCGAAACTTGATTTTTTCAACCTTATCAAATATGGTATCTCAAGCTCACCACACATGATGAGTACGAGCCTTGGGAAGTTTGATCCCATTGTCGGAGCCAATCGAGAGCATCACCTTATAAGGTTGCCGGATGTGTTCATCTTCGGATGTATTATCCTCATCGTCGGACGAGCTACTAAATTTGCCTTTTTTATCCTTCCCGGTATAGACTAGTTTGAACTAATCCAATATGAATATAGCGTGCAAGAGGATTTTGTTGTTTCCAGCGCGCAATTTTAGTTTTAAACGATACACATTGGTTATATGCTCTACTCCGCCAAAATTTCTCAGATCAGCTGTTGTGACATACTTTTTGGAAGCGCGAATTGGGCGTCTACCAGTTTTCCATTGTTTCCAACGAAAATTTTTTCGCTCAAGCTCACCACACATGATGAGTACGAGCATCAGCGTTTCCTAAATTCAGAAGAACTTGCGATGAGAATAATACATCCGAAGATGAACACATCTATGTCTTCTCTGAGCATTATCATCACCATAATAACACGTAATTGTAGAAAATAACATTTTTCTGTAGCTTCTTTATTAAAGGAAGCTCTTTTTGAGCGATTAAGATTTCATCATTGCCAGTGCGGAAATGAAAAAATTTTGCTGAATTAATTGAAATTGGACACCGCCTATGAGGGCGTCGACGGGTTTATGAAAACGATTGTCCATGATGAGGGCTGTTTGGTCTTTGAGTGTTAAAGAAATGGTTTTGTCTTTTAACTATAAAGGGGTGTAGGTACTGGAAGAAGTATGACTGTAGTACTCACTACTGGAAATTTCATAAAGTATGGTGAAAATCTGGGTAAGAGTTTCAAGTTTGTCGTTTAAGGAAACTCTTTACAAAATATTTTCGTCGCTCAAATCTCTATGTTACAAATAAAGCGAGTGTTATTACTTTTGCTTTTTAGGGGAGGTCAAATTATTTTTTTAGACCATAGGGGAGGTCCGTGTAATTATGGCAAACGTCAGAGGAGGTCAATGTAATTTACCCAAGATTAATTGTCACGAAAATACTTAACTTCCATAAAAGACCATTATTCACTATATGGAAACCACAAAAGCACCATTTTGGTGGCACCCTTGTTCTAAGTTCATGGTCATAAGAAACACAGTTATTAGAGCCTCTGCTGCCTAAGCTTCTAGTACTGTTGGGTTACATAAAATAAAAAAATAAAAAAAAGGATACAATAGCATATTTTTCCAATTTGGTTGCCATTATCAACTTTTACCCAAAACTCCAAACAAAGCTTTAATGAATAAGGGCTATCCGAGGTTCTCAAGTACCCCCATTTAACTGAACATTTTTTTACCCCAAGGGGTTAGTTCAAGTGGGTAAGAACTTGGCCCTAGTTCCTCATGAAGTATCAAGTTTAAGGTTCAAATCCTCTTGGGTGCAAACAATTCCTTGGGGGGCTCATATAGGGCTTTATGGCCCTGGCTTGTAAATGGACCTTTATGAGCTTCTAAAATATCTTTTAGGCCATGACCAATGCCCCAATTGGGCTTATACATGTGACCAGCTATCAAGAAAAGAATTGTAATAGCTAAATGATGGTGTGGGCTTATATATGTGACCAGCTATCAAGAAAATAATTGCAATAGCTAAATGATGGTGTGCAACATCAGTCAGCCATAGATCCACAATTACTGGATCTAATCCTCCACGAAAAGTAAGAAATTCCTCATATTTTGACCAATTCAAATCAACTAGGAAAAAAAAAAAAAAAACATTCAGTTTAGTTGTTAAGAAAATGTCATCTTTTTAAGCCAAATAAAATAAAATAAAATTTTCTATTCAGGTCAATCAAGCCTGATACTAGATTTGTTTTTTTATGTTCAAAATGGGTGGGTTTTTCTCTCATATTTCATAGCCCAGAAGATTTGAAAGCAAGCAAAAAGAAAATGAAGTTGATTTTTTTGTAAGCAAGCTTTTCATTAATGAAACAAGTCGTACAAGAATTCGAAAACTTAATCAAAGTATTTAAAATGAAAGGTCCTAAAAAGATGAATAGCAAGTAACTGACAATCAAGAATTTATTCTGAACCGACAAAAAGGATCAGAAATTACAATCATTAAAAAAAAATCTTAATCAGCTGAATGTTTAATTGTCGAAGGTTAAATTGTCAATATCCATGTTTTTTTTCTCTCTCCTCTGTTTAGGTTGTTTGACACCAACAGCCACCCATTTATACAAATATTTTTATGTTAAAAGTTGACATAATTGGTTTCTTTTGTACATAGTTTTGTTTCATGGTTTGTTTATTTTGTTAGGTTATATCCTTTCATGCCGGCGCTTAAATTGACGAAGCCGGGTTAACTCGTGTTTTCTTTGGGCATTGAAGATTATTGGAGTAAGAAGAACAAAGAAAAGAGGAGATCTAAAAGGAGTTTAAAGGAGATTCACATTTAAAATTAGTTTAGAAGGGTGAGCTTCTGATTTCTTATTGTGTGTCTCTACAAATTCATTCATAAAAATTGAAAACCCATCTCAAAAGTGAGAATGAAATTGATGCAGGACACAAATCTACAAATAAGAGAAGTAGAGTGAGAAGAAAAGAGAGAGAAGTAGAGTGAGAAGAAAAGAGGGAAGAAGAGATGAGAGAAAAAGAGAAGAAAAGAGAGGAAAAGATTGGAGATAAGAGAAGAATGGGCAGAAATCTGCATTAAATTTTAATAATATTTAATATTTATCAAAAAGTGATTGATCCAACAAGCATGCGTATATATAAACGATACAAAAAAAAATAAAAAGGATCAAAAATTGCAAAATTATACTTATAGGTAATCTCAAACCTAATAAACCATTAATATTTAGTTTAATTCTGAAAACCTATAAGAAATTACACAATTGATTTGTCCTTTCCCATTTTTCAATCATGAGTCAATTGCAATTCATGTGTGACCAATATTAAGATCAGATATTCATCTGAAATTCCTTTTAACAATTATTTTAGGTAGAAAATGAACCCCACCCTATTTATAAATCAAAGTTCTTTCAATCAACTGCTACTATCTATACAAATGTGGTCTTTCCGATAGGAGAATTCTAGAATTAGATTTTAGAATACGCCAAATGAATATGCATATATTACAATGCTATATAAAGTTCATACAATTCTATACAATTGTAGAGAATTCTAGAATGTTATAATACTCCAAAAGTGTATGTATCTAAGATATTACAAGTCTAATATAAAGTTCATACAATTCTATATAATTGTAGAGAATTCTACAATGTCTTGCCATGCATACTATCGTGCCATAACCTTCCATAACAAAAAGTTTCTAAGCTCCCCGTACTATTGTGCTATATAAAACAAATAAATAAAGAAGCAAACGCAAATTTTACCAAATCTATTGCCATTATCAACTTTCACCCAAAACCCCAAACAGAGCTTCAAGTACTCCATTTAACTAAACATTCTGATTGGAAGCTAAGATTTTGCGATCTTTTTAAGCCCAAGCAAAACAAAAGCTTCATCAATTAAACCTGATACATTATTTGTTTTTATGATCAAACTGGTTATTTTTTTCTCATCTTTCCTAACCCAGAACTCTAATTTTATGCTCAACAAGATTTGGAAGCAACAAAAAAAAATGAAGAAATAAAAATTATTATGAGAAAAGAAATATCATAGTCATTCAAATTACTCCAATAGATAAGAGAGAAAGGAAATTTGGAAAACAAAGAATGAAATAGGCATACCATTGAAACCCTCGACTGCGGCTTCAATAATGTCCTTAATAAGAAGCTCATAAACCATAGCATTTGTGCAGTTTTCATCGAATACATGGTCTGCATAATACTCAATTAAACAAACAACTCATCAGCACAAGATCTCACAAACAAACAGAAAACAAAATGACATCAACGAGGTATATATATATATATATATATATATATATATATATATATATATATGTTTGTAAATATACATAGACCCGGAGAGAGAGAGCTGAGTAGTGAGCACCGAAGGAAAAAGAAACACCAGAGACAGGTGTGCCGAGGGACTTGTGAAGAGAAATGCTATTGTCTTCAACCTTCCAGTAAGTTCTGTTGGAGTTCTCTTGGGCCACCGATGGCCTTACTCTTACTGCTACACATATATTTTCCATATCTATTGTTCTCTCTGTAGCTGGATGTATTGTGGAGTGATGGATTTCTCGCTTTGAGGAGTGGAATTATCGCTATCGATTGTTGGAATTTTCCAAATTTTCCAAGGGCCTTATCGGCGGGCTCTTTTTAGGCTTTTGTGATTTTGAATACATTTGATTTACCCATGTGTAGAATCATAATTACTGGTGCAACCTCTTCAAGTAAAAAGAGAATATTTTGCCAATTAAGGCCTGTTTGGGAGGTGTTTTGTTTTGTTTTAGGCTTGCTACAGTAACCTCTTTTAAGCCCAAAACATGTTTGGTTGGACTTGTTTTGTTTCAAACAGTTGTAAAACATTGTCAAAATTGGGCCCAAAATATGAAACACCACATTGGTGTTTTTTGTTGTTTTGGTTTTATTTTGGGTAAGAATTATTGTAGTGGAAGAAGCAAAAACGAGCATTTAACTGTAGCGGATGCAACAATTGTTTCATGTATAAAACCAAAAAGTTGCAACAATCTAGGGTTTGCTTTGCTCGTTCGGTCTGGCGATTCTGGGCGACGGCTGGGCAACAACTGAGAAGGATGGTTCCACTGCTGTTTTCGGCCGATCTCTTCGACGATCTCTAACCAGGTGCATGCCTCTCTCTCTTGTTTTATCTTTTCCTCCATTTTATTTTCCTCTGTGAAACAGTTCTTGCCCCTCTTGTGTTATTTCGGCTTCCACCAATTGATCCTTTTCATTAAAACCTCATTCAACCCACATGGTTGATTCTCAATTTCTAAGGCTAATTTGCCTACTTGTATTGCATCCAGTCTATTTTGTGAAGGTTCTCTGGTTAACAGAAAGAATATTTTTTTCTATACAATTTGGCATATAGTTTATTGGGTGCCTCAATATGTTTTCAGTAATTGGGTTTCCTAAATTTCAAGGGTTCGTGCCCTAATTCACATTTGCTACATATTTATATCTGTGAATGTATGTCTGTTTTGTTCTGACATAATTACTGGGTTTCATTTTCTTAGCCGAAATCAAGGGTGCCAGTTTTCAATTCTTCATATAAATCACAAAATAAATTTATGACGTGTATCATTGCTCTTTGTTTTAAAATTCTTGACATAACATTTAGAAAACCTGAACCAAACAAGTCATGAATTTTTTTATTTTTTTTTTGTTAAATTACCTAAATCTTTTTTCTTAATTTATATAATTACCCCAAAACAATGTTGGTATGAATTACTGGTTGAAAAAAATGTTGGTCTGAATGTCACTTTTTTGCTAGGCTATACAATATACATGATTGTGCATATTTTGCCTCTAGCTTTTTTTCAAGTTCAATCTATATGATCATACAGAAAAAGACCCAATTAACAATATCTTTGTTTCTGTCAAAGAAACTGTGGAATTAAACACCTTTTTTGTTCAATGTGGACTTTAGTGACAATGAATGGGAAGAAAAGGGGATGTATGAAGAAAGGTGAAAAGAGGACTGAGTTGGATGCTTTATTATTCTTTAACAAAAAATTTCAATTTAACAAAGATAATTCATGGTTGTTGTCATGGATGGTCTTACTCAAACATCTTATGGCCACATGAGGCTCAATCTAAAAGGGGGGGTCCGATTTTCTTGAAAGAGGGAATTGAATCGGGTAACAGAAAATCACAAAGTCTGCCAAACTCAAATTTTATAAATGTTCATAACTGAATTTCTATTGTCGGGTAAAAAAAAATGGTGAAATTTGATGGGATTTGTAAATTAGTTTAGTTGTAAGTTTGTAGCTTATGTTTAATTGCTGCATTTCAAAATTTAAAATTATAATGCTTGATTGGGGTTACATTTGGAGGATAATTGAAGTTCATATGCGTAGGGATGCTTTTGGGTTATGTTAATTGATTTTGGATGACACCTTTCAAATATTAGTGCTAGATTTATAAGGTTTTAGTAGTAATACCACACTCAGTTTTGACATGTGGTTAGAGTTCTCGGCTCAGATCTCAAAAGTGTTGCAAATCAATGTAGATGTGTCATCAAGGCTTTCCTGGTTTCTATCTGGTATATTTTGAGGGTATAAGTTCATACTCTTTTTAGACAAAAATAAAAAATAAAAATAAGAGAAACATATGAAATATTGAAAACCGTTCACAAGTATGGACTACGTTTCCCACGTATAAATAGACCTTCGAACATGTGTATGTCATGTGGGTGAGTACATTGAACTCATAATGACATACTTTAGGTGACATAGCACACTAAGACTTGATGTTAAGTGTTAACTCCATACACTTTAAACACTGTCTACATTTTATTACATAAAGTCTTATTTTTCTAATAACATCTTCATTTATATCAACTATAAAAACATTTTCTATACAAGGGTGGTGTATGAAAAATTAGGACACACCAGTAAAACTATGGAATCAAAACTACCCATTCTTTTCTTCTAGGAGTGGGTGACAGTGGGTCACATGAATTCTTTTCTTCTAGCTATCAGCGTGTGAGTAGTGAAAGAGAGAGAGAGAGAGCAGTGAACTTTAACTGAGTGCCAAAAAGAGGTGGGTGCACTGCATATATTTTGATGCAATACCCATTCCTTGTATTATATGTACAAAAAATAATAACCCTCAATGTACCACTTAAACTTTAGTAACTCAACTGTGAGAATTCTGTTAGCTTATTCTCTCATTCTTTAGGTCATCTTTTTCTTAACCGTGCCATGCTGAATGTTTAGTTTCTTCAAGTAAGTGTAGGATAATTGTTTTGCATTATTTCTGAAAAAGTGAAATATCTAAACCGATCAAATTGGACATCCAATAAAGTAAACATGGGATATGGATTTATTAAATGAAAATCCGACAAACAGATCGGATCGACCATCATCCACTTCCTATCCAATCCGTTCACAGGTTTAGTGCCAAATAATATAAAGAATTATTTGTTTCAACTTTAATTATTTTATACATTTTGTGTGGCTTCTAAGAAAATAGTAAGAAATCATTCATTAAATTCGGATCTGGGCCTGAGCCATTGGTAGAATCCCTCCAATGGCTTAGGCCCAAATCCGAATTTAGCCGAGGAAAGGTCCTAAAAAATATCAATTTTACTAGAATCTGCTTCTAAAAATGAAAAATTCTGGCTAACTTTAACTAATCAGTTGTCAAAAGGCCAAACTAGCCATCACTCTGAGAAGATAAGAAACCAAGTAAGAACTTAATTTATTATTATCCACTTTTAGTGAGTTAAGCTTCTCCTGAAAAGATCCATTCAACTTCTGTTCCTCTAGGAACAAAAATAGAATATCAGACCAGAAACTCAAGATGAAAATATGTATATGTCCACAACTAGATCATAAAAAATAGGAAATACCTTGTAATTTTAGCTGTACATTAGCCAGTTTGGTACACTCTTTCTCAAGTTCCATCCCCAATTGTTTTACTTTTAACTCATGAGATGCTTGAATTGCTGCTAGAGATCTATTTTTCTCTTCTATTTTTCTCAAGTTCCATCCCCAATTGAATTACTTTTAACTCATGAGATGCTTGAACTTATAGGGCTTTGAGTTATTGAAGTAATAGTATGAGTTATTAAAGTAATATATATTATTTTTGTTGTTATTAATTATAGTGTTGTTATTAATTTGTTAAATGGATATCAATGTTGAGAATGTGGAACAATATGGTGAATATATGACAATTGAAGAAGAAGGGGTGGCTGAAGTTATGAAAGATGGAAAAGTGTTATGGGATGACTCACTTACTGAAAAATTCTGTAATATTATGGAGGAACAAGTTAGGGCTGACAATCGTACTGAGACAACATTTAATCCAAAAGGTTGGACTATTATGGTAAAAGAAATGAAGGTTCAAACAGGGATAAAATTTGACAAAACCCAACTTCGGAATAAGTTTAACCAATTGAGGACAATTTATATCGAGTTTAAGAAATTGTTATCGGAGACTGGCGTGGGATATAACCATGAGACGGGCATAGTTATAGTTGAGGAAGAGAGATGGGGCAGGTTGAGCAAGGTTAGTAATTTAATTATTAGTCCTAAATAAATAATAAAATATCGTATATTATTTGTTATGAGGTTAATATTGTAACAAAATTTAGTAGGTTATTAAGGATACAAATAAGTTTCGTAGACATGGATATAAGCATTTTGACAAGATGTCGACTATATTTGGGCACACATATGCAACAGGAATGCATGCCCACCCCTCTACTACAGCACCTACAGCAATCATTTTGCCCACTCCCAATGATGACGATGATGAGGAAGAGGGTTGTCACGTCAGTCCCCCACCTTTACGTAAAGGTAAGAAAGCCAAAATAGATAGTTTATCTCCCAGTATGGCTGCATTCTTGTCAGGCATGGATGAGAATTCTGCGAGGAGAACTGAGAGAATGGAAGCTGCAATAGAGAAAGCAATTAAAGCATCTTCTACTTCTACTCGTGTATCTTCATGTGAGAAAGAAGATGATGAAGTTCTCTCTCCCTCTAAAAAAGGATAAAGATGATGAAATGTTTAAAGCCTGCATGCTCCTTTTACAAAAAATACCTGGAATTGAGATGGCCCAATTCGCTAAGGTATCAAAGTTGTTACATGATTCTGAGAAGTGGCAGAAATTTTTTCTCAGTTCTCCTGAGGAGATAAGAATTGGTTGGGCACTGAATGTTTGAGTCTTTCTTTATGGATGATTGTGTTTTGTTGTTTATTTAACTTATTACTATCTCACATTTGGATGACTGTAATAACTAAATACTTTTATTTCTTGGATGACTGTACTGCTATTATTTAAATGTTTTTCTTCTTAAGTTAAATGTTTTGCTTATTAACTTAAATATTTTATTTATTACTTAAATGTTAAGCTTATTAACTCAAATGATTTGTTTATTATTTAACTGTTTTGTTTATTATTTAATTGTTTTGCTTATTAACTTAAATGCTTTGCTTCTATTAAATCTTTAAATAGGGCAATGGATATGTGGAACCATATAAGAAGAATAATTCAATTTTATGATGATGAGGAGGACAATGAGAGTGTCTTAATATTTGCTACTCTTTTAGAAGAGTAGAACTTCTATCAAAAGAGGCGTTGTAGGGATTCAATTTTACAAGGGGAAACGTATGTTATGGAGATTTTAAACAGCCACAGAGAAAGATGTTATGAAAATTTTAGGATGTACCCTGAAGTTTTTAGAACATTGTGTAGTACCCTGAAAGGTATAGGGCTGAAAGATTCTAAATTTTTAACTGTTTTATGAACAAGTGGCAATCTTTTTGCTCACTTTATCTCATAATCAAAGGAATTGTGTTGTAACTGAGAGATTTCAACACTCCACTGAAACCATTTCCAGACACTTCCATGCTGTGTTACATGCAGTATGTCAGTTAAGCACTCATATCATTGCCCCTCCTGATTTTTCTGTGATTCCGAATAAGATTAGAGAGTCTTCTAGGTTTTTCCCTTACTTCAAAAATTGCGTGGGAGCTATAGATGGAACCCACATTCCTGCAACTCTGCCAGCAAGTACACAACTTCCATTTCGTGGTAGAAAGGGTTATACCACACAAAATGTAATGGCTGTATGTGACTTTGACATGAGGTTCACATATGTGCTAGCTGGGTGGGAAGGCTCCGCTAATGATTCGAGAATCCTAAAGGAGTCTATTGAGAATGAAGCAATGAACTTTCCAGCTCCACCAGCAAGTAATATTATCTTACAAATTCACTTAATATATGGTTAGTTTATTATACTGTATATATCTTTATGTATTCTAAACATGACAGGTAAGTATTATTTGGTAGACTCAGGATATGCCAACAAGCCTGGTTATTTGGCCCCATTTCGAGGTCATACTTACCACTTTTAGGAATACCGTAGGACTAGACAACCTCGTGGTCGGGAGGAAGTGTTCAATCATAGGCATTCATCTTTGAGAAATATAATTGAGCGATGCTTTGGGTTGTTGAAGGTGAGATTCGCTATTTTGAGGGCAATGCTTCCTTATAAGTTTTCAACACAAGTATTGATTGTAATGGCTTGTTGCACATTACACAATTTCATCAGAAATCAGCATCCGCCTGATGATTTATTTGATGGTAACGATCCTCTTCAAAGTGATAGTGAAGATGATGAAATTGTTAAGCATGTGCCTTCGGCTCAGCTTCGAGAAATGGATCAGTTGCGTAATATTATTGCTGATCGAATTTGGAATTCTCTTTAGCACTTTTGATCCTTCTAAAAGTGATGGTATATTTTTTCTTTTATATGTCATATATTTGTTGCTATTGTAAGCTTGTAATATATATATGTAATATAAATCATTTTTGCAGATATATAATTCAACTTAAATGCTATTATTGCAGATATGAAGTGTGTTGATGCTCTCTTAAAGGCCACATGTACTGTTATGAAGATGATGTGTCGTTGCCATTGTCATCCACTTTATGAACTTCTTATCAATTTTTACTGACAATTATGTATTGTTAATGCTTTGTTCTAAACATTTTATGTACAACTTAAACTTGTTTAATTTGTTGGTTGAATATTTAAAGACTTGTAAATGGTATACACTCTATTTCAATTATGCTTTCAGTTGGGTTTGTTTTTATTTTAATGTTGTGTTAGACTATATAGGTAACAGGATAATAAAATTGAAGCAGGTTATTGCAAAGAACTTGTAAATAGGTTATTGCTAATTTTTTTTACAAATGTTGACTCTCGTGTAGTATAGTAAAATGTGACTAGAAATGTTTTTATTTTTAATGTTGTGTTGAACTATACAGGTATAGTGATAATAAAATTGAAGTGGGTTATTGCAAACAACTTGTAAATAGGTTATTGAAAAAATTAATATATATATATGTTTGTGGGTTCAAATTTCTCCATATCTATTAAAAATATGATAACTATTTATAAATATACATAAAATTTATAAAAACAAATTAAAAACAAGGATAACCAAACATGTTTTTTTTTTTTTGTTTTACAACAGTTGGACTGACCAAACATGTTTTGTTTTCAAAAATTTTGAAACGCATGACTTACCAAACATGTTTTGCATGTTTTTTTTTTCGACATTTTCACAGCAAAACATCGTTTCCAAACGAGCTTCCGAATTTTTTCCAAAACACTCCTACAACAAAAACACTGTTTCCGTTTTAGCTAAAAACAAAATGCCAAAAACAAAGTGCATGCCAAACGGGCCCTAAGGACTCAGTATAAAATATTACTGTAGTTCAACAAAACGATATATATTTAATAGATTGGAAAAATTACTTTCAAAACCATTTAATGAGGAAAATTTTAAAGTAGATGTGGAAAGTGATGAATTTAATATAATATAAAAAATAAAATCAACAATAAGGAAATGATACATTTAAAAAGTTGAAAAATAACAATGTTATTGATCTACAATGACGGATCTAAAGATTTGTATGAGGGGGCGATTTTGAACAATAATAATGTATAGTGGGGTATCATTATAAATTGAATGGGGGCATATTTAAAATTTTTATAAAAATATAGGAATATTTTTAAGATTTTTATAAAATTTATAGATAATTTTATAAATAAATAAAAAATCAGTGAGGGCAGCTGCCCCAGGTCCTTCATAGGTTCATGCTTATTGATGGAAGAAGAGCCGTAAAAAAATGTACGAATTGAGCGACTAATAAATTTATTTAAAAATATTTGTAAAAGGTGTAATGCCAAATGAATGAAAGAAAAGCATGCTACTATTAATTTATAAAATAAAAGAGGATATACAAAATTGCAACAATTTTTGAGAAGTTAAATTAATAAATCATGCAATGAAACTATGGAAAGGGGTGACTGAAAAAAGATTAATGGAGGAATCCACTCCTGATAATCAACTTCAATTTTTGTCATTTTCACAATGGAGGTTATTTACTTAATTAGATAATTAGTTGAAAAATATCTACTTATATAATAAACATAGGATGCACCAAAGATCAGTATTGAGCTCGTATCTATTCATAATAATTTTACATAAAATTACAATAGATTTACTAAAAGACATTTTATGGTTAGTGTTGTTTGCCAATGATATAGTGCTATTAGATACTAATCATACTACTAAATAAAATTTAGTAATTTAATTAGAAATGTAGAGAATTGCTTTAGATTAAATAAAAGAATATATTCAATATAAATCTAATAAATGGTTGGATATTTGATAATATAGTGATCACACTTCAAAATTTAAAGATTACCAAAGAATGTTTCAAAAGGATATCAAGTTATATGTTTATATAATTAGTACTTGTGTAATAAAAGAATAACAAATAAGTTAAAAGGAAAATTTTATAAAATTAATTATTAGAGTAACTATTTAATATGGAGTTTAAGTGTAAGGCTTTAAAAACGTTGGAATGGTAAGATGAATGTTAGGGTGACTCAGAAGAGATAGGACTATTAATCAAAGTGTGAGGTGTAACTTAAGAACGACACCTATAGTGATAAAATAAAAGAAAATAGATATGAACATGTTCCTATATTTTTGTAATTTAAGGATATATTTGATATTATCACGATCAATTGTTGAAATTTTTCAGGGCTTGGTGATAGTGGTAAGGTAAGGGGATGGATTCTAATATGTCCCAGTTTCGAACCCCAACACCTTCATTATAACCCCTAATTTAATTGGTGTTGTCGTTGTCGTTGTGAGACCCAACTCAAGGGAGTTACGAGTTCTAAAAACAAAAAAAAAAACATATACAAGGAATATCTGTTATGCACCGGTAAGATGAGAAACTATCCAAATTAACCTGAAATAAAGTTATTAAAAGTCAAATATTATAAGAAAGATGACTTGTAATAAATAAATAAAAAGGCAAAGTTCAATGACACTCCCGAAGTTTGGTATATAGACAGTCATATACAAATTGGTTATTTTTGGACAATGACATCCCGTATCAGAATTGTCATCCAAACAAGGCCTTAAATGGTTCAAAAAGACAAAATTGCCCCTTAATATTAAAATTAGTTTTATTGTAAAATATCAGACATGTTGAAATGTCAAAATTACCCTTAAGTTAATATGAGCCACAAAATTAATGGCACCAATTATGCAAAAATTCATTAATTTCTCCAAGGTATTGTAATATTTCGATTGTTATGAAATTTTTACCAAATGTTCCTCTACATGTCTAGTCACTCTATGAAAAATTTCGTAATTTTTGGCCAATAGATATTTTTATAAAAATTTGACAACAACTGTTGTTTGGAATTTTCTACTTTTTGAAATCAGATTTTAAATTTATTTATTTGACAGCATTCTGGACATTAAATTATCACCAAAATTTGCAATTTTATACTTCCATGAGTTTACTTTCCAAAACATTTTTGTTTGCTCCATTTCAATTTTGTTGAAATATTTGTATTATTATTTTTTTTATTTTTATTAGCTATTTTCAGCCATTTATTAGGTGTTTTATGTAAGATCCCTATTATTATGGGATATGGGATCACGTAGATAAGATTCCCGTAATCATGGGATCACGTAGATTTTGGCATATTTCTTGTTTTTCTTTGATTTGGTTTCCTTTCTTTGTACCATATTCTTGTATATAAATATAGCTCTTGGCTCTCATAGATTTTGGCATATTTCCTATTTTTCTTTGATTTGGTTTCTTTCCTTTCCATCTCTTCCCAGCCTTTGCGCCGAACCCATCGGGTAACCCTCTATTTTTTATTCCTTTTTTAGGAGAATTCCCTTAGTTTTTTTATGACCTAAGGGTCCTTTTAGTGTTTTTTTTTTTTTTTTTTTTTTTTTTTTTTTTTTTTTGTGGGCTATCGATATTTGTTCGGCAGCATATTTCAAGGAAAGCGTCAATTTTTTTGGCCTTATTTTTTTCTCTTTCCTCTTGCTTTGACGTGTGGACCAGCCTTATTTTGGAACAATGACTGATTCTAGTAGCCAAAAGGATACTTTATCCTCGGTCCAACATGCTTTATCTTCAGCACATCATACTTCAGTATAACGGGTTACTAGTGTGCTCTTGAATGGGCGCAACTTCGTATCTTGGTCCCATTCTCTTCAACTTTATATTGGAGGGAAAGGGAAAACTGGTCGGCTTTTGGGTCTAGTCAAGGAACCAGAAAAGACGGATATTAAATATATTGCATGGGATATAGACAGGTGTAACATTCTGGGTTTGATCTTCAACTCAATGGAGGAGCGTATCTATAATATGTTCATGTTTCACACTTCTATTTTTCTTTTGTGGCAAGCCCTCAACAAGATGTATGCCCATTCCTGTAATAACGCTCATATCTTTGAACTCTATCAGGAGATTGCTCATGCATCTCAAAAGACACTTAAGCTGTCAGTATCAGAGTATTTTGGGTACCTCTAGTTTAGCTGGGAAGAATTAGCACAGTATAAACCTCTCTCCAATTTCTCTGAAGAAGTTGCAACTCTTTTGGCCTAGAGACTAGATCGCCAGCATACCTACTAGTTTTTGATGGGTTTATGATCTGAGTATGATGCTCTTAGAACTCAGATCATAAACACTTCTCCTATACCTAATTTATATGATGCATTTGCTACTATTGACCATGAGGAGCATAGACGTCGGATCTCTCAGCCAGTAGCTTTACCAGAGACTCCAGCTGATCAGATGGCTTTTGCTACTAATTCTAGACTTTCAAAGGGAAAGGTTATTTGTCAACATTGTGGAGCCATGGGTCATGTAAATGATCGTTGCTTTAAGCTTCATCTTGAGCTAAAGCAGAAATTTTCTCGCAATTGTCTTTTTGGCCGTGGCTGCCTGGTTGACTACTTTCTTCAATAACTCATAAAAAGTTTGAAGCCAAACTTCTCACAAAGGTCAGTTACCCAACTGTTTTTGAAATTTGTCCCATTATTAGTGATGATGTATCAAGGGATACCATATCAATAAATAAGGTTAGACTTAATGAAATCAACAACTGTTTCATTTTTCACATGTTTATAGGGTGCAACTTCCGCCCATTTAAAAAAATAAATAGTGGCGGCCAAGATATATATGTGGCCCTTTGAAGATTTTCTAGAGGACCAACTACATCTAATCCCTATACATCAAATGGCCATGATATCACAATAAGGTGCAACGGCTCAGGTGGTTGGTGTATGAAGTTAGCGTAGAACTACTGTCGTAGTAGCCGATACTATTGGTGGGTATACAACTCCACAGATTATTTTCCTTCCTGCTTCAACTCCTCCTAGACTATCTTTTCAGGACTTCAATCAGTTATAGTCCCAGATTGGTCAGCTTCAGGAGCAGTTTGGAACTTTATCTGCCAAGTCTGGGTCGTCTATTCTCACGGCTACTATAACTACAGGTACTCCTTCTACTTTTCATGTTAAAGTAGGAAAACCTACTTGGGTTCTGGATTCCGGAACCAATGATCACATTGGTTCTTTACTCCTGTTACCACTGTTAATCAGGTTGTTAGTCTAGCCGATGGGTCACCCACTATTATTCGTAGTAAAGGAGATGTTTAACTATCCCCTGATATTATTTTGCCATCTGTTTTTCATGTTCCTAACTTTACATTTAATCTTCTATCTGTTAGCAAACTTGCCAAATCACTAAATTATACAGTGATTTTCTTTCCTTATTATTGTGTTTTACAGGACTTGTGTTCGAAGAGGATTTTTGGCAGGGGATA